TCGGCGACTTCAATATGTTGCAAAAGGAGCTCGGTAATTGGGATACTTCAACTTGCTCATCAATCTGAATATATGAAGCAGCTTGGTGGCAAGAGCTCGGTATTTTGGAGATCCTAAATATAGCTCGGCCGTTTGAAGCTATCAAGCATTGTTTAGATATTTGAATATCTTAATCAGCTCGGTTGATTTAGCCATTATTGATATTATCCAACAAATCTATCTAGTTCAATGAACAATAGCTCATTCGATAATCGGGGGGCTAGATGATATGGCACATAGCAATGAGCTCGGTGAACCGGATAGGATTTGCTCGGTTTAAATAGCTAGAGGTAGATCCAGAGTCCAGCAGCCTTAACAGCTCGGCTTCAGTGGCTCGGCTTTCTGGTTTGTTAGCGGCCCGGTTCTTAAGTAGCTCGGCTTCTAAACAGCTCGGCGTTATAAGGATATTAATGGCTCAATTTGCCGAGCAGATTAGTTGGTCCAAGGGTTTGGACGTTTGTGATATGGAATTGTGCTCGGGGCCGAGCAGGTGGGGGCAGTTTTGAAGAGCAGTCCATAAGGAACACGTGTAGCATCAGGATCAAAATAGAATGAGTAATCTGACCGGCGAAGAGCAAAGCGTAGGGAACAAGCTAAACAACTATGTATAAATAGGTAAACAATGAAGGAGGTAAGGTTAATCATTCTACATATCCTAAATTTCATACACAGCTTCTTTCTATCTTTGATCTCTTACTGACTTGAGCGTCGGAGGTTTACCGCCGGGAACACCTCCCGACATCTTTGCAGGTCTCAAAGCGATTGGGAAGCCGATTTAAGTGCAGGAGCACATCAAATACTATATCCGAATCTGAAAACAACACTATATGCAAACAGCACAATATGCAAACATGCAAAAAGCAATATACGTAAATTATTAACATATGAAACAACACTATTTATAAAAGATTTGCAACTACACGATATTCAAACAATATATGTAAAAAATGTACTCTAAATTTCTTTTACATCACATGAGAACAATTTGAATATATATCTATGTTAACATTTAAAACGATATTTTAACATACACTTAACAAGTACTACGTTTAAATCAAACTATTTCGACCCTGAAATCTCTGTATATATATATATAATCACATGTCCATATAATAATCATAAATTCTTTAAAATAAAGGTTATATTTTTACAAAAATGCCAAGTATAACAAATATACGAAAAGAAATTTGTAAATATAAGGTGAACCTTTTTAAATTGTAAAAAAAAAAAAAA